CCATGATTGTAGCATCAAGTGATGAAGAGTGGTTATAACGACCCATCAAAATCTAAGTGTTGGAAACCGTTTAGAGCCACCTTAAACAAAGGAAATCATGACCGTGACGGTGTTTGGATATCTGATCTTAATAAGCATAGATTTTAACGATTTTATTCCTCCGTTTTCTCCTTAGTTTTAGTCTCGTTCGAGGAGATATATCAAACACTCAAGACAGTGTTTGACCACATTTCCAAAGGCCTCAAAGTTCGTCAAAAATACTCCGCAACGCGTCGTATTTTCAACTCTCTTCTCGGTGTTTGGAGATGTGGTCAAACACGGTCTTTCGTGTTTGATATATTACTTAACAAGATGTTAAGATGATGTAAGATGTTTGGTTATTTCATTTATGACTGTGATTTCTGACTTTACTAAGTGTCTTCTTTTTACCTTTCTACTGATTTAAAGGCTGGAATCAACAGCGGCTATATGACGAAACCTTGTCTTGATCCACATGATTCAGAATGTCCAAAAACCGCACCAAATTACAAGACCAAGAAGGTAATTATTGGAGTTTTGTTTGAAGCCATTTGCTGTCAAACATGCATTATGTTTGAAGTGTGTATCATGTAAACAATCAATCTTGAGAGAAAATGATAAAAGTGCAGAAAAAAAGAGATTGCTTGAAAATGTTCTCAAATCGGTTTGAATTGGGACATCTGCCATGAGAAAACCCAATCTTTGAATCGTGCGCATTGGCAAACTGGATAGACAGAAACCCTTTCAGTGTCGTTTTGATAGAAGAACCAGTCGCGTCTTACCTAAGATGTGGTCTGCAGTACATTAACCTCTTCCTGGTGTAATTTACATTTTGCCAGAAACCAGACATAGGTGTGGAATTGACTGGTGGCTGTCAGGGGTTTGCTACCAAATATATGGACTGGCCTGAAGAGCTTATTGTGGGAAGAACTGTCAAGAACGGAAGCAGAATTATTAGGTGGGTTTTGTTTCTGGATAACGTGATGTTTACGCGTACGTCGGTTAAGGAGAACCACGTGGGCAACGGCAACGAGAACGTCACCAACCAAAAGGTTTAACAATGACCATGCACGTGCGTTATAAATCTTTGTACGTTTCGTAGTCGTCCTCTGAAAAACAACAACGTGGAATGGCCAAGTTCTGCGTATTTTGGAGAACGTGATCCACAACGGCTAATTTTTCGTATTTCCTTTTGGAATCAGGAGTTGGAATTTATCCCGAGAATTTCGTATTTAGCTTGGCAGGTTTTTACACCGATCGGCCTGCTAAACAGGATTTAGATAATTTCGAAATTTAACCAGGTTTTGCTTTTGCGTTGTATTTCCTTTAATGTATCTTGTCTAGGGCTGAAGCATATCAGAGCATTGTAATGTTGATGGGAAGTCAACAGCTTTATACTCGCTGGCATGGAGAGACAAAAGTGAACCACATGAGCGACGGGGATCCAGCGTGGACGAATGATACAGCGTCGCAAGTATTAGAAGCGTGGAAGAGTGAGTTCACCAAGGTAAGTAGAGATACAAAAACTGTCAGCTGCAAATATTTTAAAAGATGCGGAGGCTTGATCGTTTGTAGGCAAGATTGCAGCAGTCCAGGTGCAAGCCCTGAACGGGATCTATGTGTGGTTCTTTTGGAACACTTCACTCTCACAGTACCTCTCGTCACCCAGTTGCATAGATGGGTAATAGCGAATTTAATGCTGGGGGTAACCCTGTGATGGATTAGTATCCCATCTAGGGGGAAGTAGAAATACTTCTGGTCTTTTTCATGTTATGTCCTGAACTAGTATTAGCTCTGGCTGTAAAGGACCCTTCGATCGATGCGTAATTCTCAAACTCTTTAATACCTCATCAAGTCAGTCATGGCCGGATGGTGTTTGGAGATCTAATCTTAATTAGCATAGAATAGATTTTGACGATTTTATTTCTCCGTTTTCTCCTTAGTTTTAGTTTCGATTGAGAAGATATATCAAACACTCGAGACAGTGTTTGACCACATTTCCAAACACCTCGAAGTTCGTCAAAAATACTTCACTGAGCGTCGTATTTTCGACTCTCTTCTCGTTGTTTGGACATGTGGTCAAACACGGTCTTTCGCGTTTGATATGTTACGTAAAAGATAGTGAATTCGATGCATACTTAACTTACAGACTGTTTTGGATTGTGTTGCTTTGTTCTATGATTTTCATCTTAAAGGTCATCAACTCAGCTGACCAAAGTCAGGAAGATTCAACAGTATTGGCTTTCTCCTCCACATCGTTGAATGGTTTACTGAAGGACTTTTCTCAAATAAGCTATCTCTACGTAGGGATTGCATATGTGCTAATGGTAAGATAATGACATAAAAGATTGACGACAGCCATGAACCTATTTATTCATTCTATACTGCAGTTTTGGCTCTCGCTTACCCTCATTTGGTAAAACTTCTCTTCCACACAAACAGAAAGGGTGTAATCTTTATGTTAAGCAAAAGCGAGTGTGAAGAGATTAGATCTATATTACATGTATATGCATACAGGATTAAAAAATAAAAAGTATAAGCGGTATTAAACTTCCCCCTTGAGCGAAATCGTGCTTCGACTGAATTGTCAATTACAACCTTGCAAGCGCTATTTCGTCCAATTCTTTCAGATCGCGAAACCTCGAATGCCCCCCTTGAAGTCTTTTTGGGAATTCAGTATTTTATTAGTAACGAATAGCTTAGCCAATCAAATTGCAACATTAACTATAAGAACACAAGCAAAATTTTACTATTATACCATGACTTGTCGTTTGCTTTGTAGCTCCTCTACGCATGTGTTACCCATGGTGCTCTTGGGTTTGGTGGTGTCGTTCTTGTCACTGTTGCAGTTGTTTCGGGCCTGGGATGTTGTTCGATTTTCCAGATCAAATTTAGTGACGCATCAAAGCAGGTGAGTCAGCTATTGCAGGCGGACATAAGGATTTACAAGCCTTTTCAATTTAAAAATGTTTTGTATTAAACTTTATGTAGCGAAGTTGATTGTTGCATTCTGTGTTTTCTTTTTTGCGGTTTCTGGAATGGCATTGCCAGTTATATCATGTATTTCCGCGGTAGAAAGCTCGCCGAGTCTGTTGTTTTCAGCCTTTTTTCTAACGGAACTTTCGCTTCCCGGCTAGAACATTTCAGCTAAGCAACACTTAATGCAGTCATATTCTATATAAGGTCAAACACAGGTATAATGGTGGGAGGCGCGGTGGCTTCATGGTTAGTGCGCTCGTCTCCGGATCAAGTGGTCCGGGTTCGAGCTCTGGCCGGAGACATTGTGTTGTGTTCCTGGCCAAGACACTTTACTCTCACCGTGTCTCTCTCTACCCAGGTGTATAAATGGGTATCGGCGAACTTAATGCTGGTGGTAACCCTGTGATGGACTAGAATCCCATCCAGGGGGAGTAGAAATACTCCTAGTCGCTTCATGCTGCAGAAACCGGGATAGGCTCCGGCCTGGTGGGCCACTTGGCCCGTATGCAGACTTAACCTTACCTTTTATATGTGTAATGTCTGATAACCGAGGTTCAGTAAACCTATCAAAAAAACTAGAAATGCATTATCCGAGTTTAAAAATGTAACAGTAAGAGTACTTTCAAGTTGTTAAAAAACTTGTGTGCTATTCAGGCTAAAAGGAGAGCTGTTCAGGTTAAAGTATTCGCCACTATTCGTGGCTAATTCGCCACTATGTACTGTTCACTACTCGGGTTTTCCAGACTCCCAAAAAAGGGAGCATAAGCAAACCACGACGGCGACGACAACGAGAACGTTGCAAAACAAAAGAGTTAGTGAGCACAACAATGGCTGTGCACGTGCGTTAGAAATTTTTCTGCATTTTGTAACCGTCCTCTGCAAAACAACAACGTGAAATGACTAAGTTCTGCGTATTTTGTGGAAAATGACGACGACGGCTAAGTTTTCGTATTTCCTTTTCGAATTAAACTCTGTAACTGCATTTCTTGGCGTCGTCCTCGGCGTCGCCGTCGTCGTTGATTAAACTCCCGAACTGACATTGCGTATACTACGCGTTGCCAAATACGATACTTAAGTGTGTTCAACGGACTGAACACGCGTTGCACTGTTTTTCTTCTCGTAGATCTTGCCGTTTATTGCTCTGAGTTTGGGTGTCAATGATATCTTCCTGCTATCTCACACTTATTCATCTGCTAAAGATAATGACCAGGTACGTAATCAGTAACGATGGCCAGAGCTTCTCTGTTGACGCGGAGGGTGTCCAGACCCCTTTGCGCGGTGTGGTTTGTGAACGCGAGGGGAGTTTGTAGTTTATTACACTGGATTTTGGGTTCGATATCTGACTGATAAATTTAAGAGTTCTCTCTTTACCTCTCAAAAATAAGGACGTCTGGCGGAAAACGTCAGGTTTCTTACCTACTTTAAAATAGCTATTTCTCAGCAAAAACACTACGAGTAATCGGATTCTTCAGCTCGATCCACGAAATCTCACAAGAGTTTGCTCAACTTTTCCTGATCTTAGCTCCTAAAGTAGTTTATCACAGGGTCTGCTTCTCATAGTTATGTGCCCAAAGTCTCATAAATTTACGTAACCTCTAATGTAAACCCCCTTCTCCAAAAAAATACAAACCTAGAAATGTTTGAGAAAAAAGACTGCCACAGTAGTATTTTCGTATTCTAACCCGATAATCTATTAATGCTGGTTAGCTTTGGTTTTTTTTTATTTTAGGATCCTGCAGTGTACCTCCTTGCTAGTACTGGAGTCAGCGTGTTCTTGACATCCTTCAATAACATGTTTGCATTCTTTATGGTAGCACCCATACCCATACCAGCTTTGCGGTCCCTTTCTTTACAGGTTTGTGCAGATTAAAGAAACAAATATGAAAAGCAATCATGATCTCACAGCTGACGTTACCAACCAGTATACTTTGTTTATAAAAGCTGTGACAAGGCAAATTTGCTCAGGGTTTTTTCTGCGGCATGCTTTAGCTAGCTGTCACGTTGTTTTTGACAGACTCACTATGTACCCGAGACTAGTTCAGCAAATACAGTTGTCTTTGCAACAAAATGGAAATTTAGTGACATACAAAAGAAGACTGGCTAAGAAAATAATAGAACCAACAACAGAAACAATAAACCGGGCTCTTAGGTAGCGTCCCCACTACGACAGAGAAATTTGAAAACGCCGTTGTATTTCTACGGTTAGGCGTACCGTCTACACTAACCCGTCACGAGAACGGAGCTTTTCGAAAATGCTCTTCAAGCCCCAGGAATTTGAAAACGCCGGCTTTTCGCTTTCGTGTGGCACGGAAAACATTTTGAAAACGGAGCATTCCGAAAATGGCGTCACGATAATCGGGGTTTCCTCGACCGAGTTTACCTCAGACACAAATCCTAAAAGACTGGTGATTGTTGCGTTTTTAAATTCCTCCGGCGTAGTGTGGACGGAAAGCATTTGATGCGTTTTCAGAGTAAAACCTCCGATTTTAAACTCCTCCGGTGTAGTGTGGACGAGGCCTTAAAACAAAAGAAGTAGGTACATACACTGAGAGAGCGAATGAAATTGTAGGTTTTGAAGAGGTGCGCGGCTTCTGAATACAGTAACATTGTATGACAGTAACATTGTATGACAATTGATTTTCTCTCAATCTTTTTCTTTCTCTTTAGCTTGCTATTGTGGTTGTGTTCAACTGTCTTGCCGTAATTGTGATCTTCCCTTCAATGATTGCGATCGACAAAAACAGAAGAAGTCGCGGCTGTGACCTGCTTTGCTGTTGCAAAAGGTACAACTTGTGGGTTCACTTAAACTCGAGTGATTTAACCGGCAATCATGCTCTCCCATCCAAAATAGCCACCAAACGATGTTGCCTCCTTTGAACAACTTTCCGTGGAAGAAAAAGGTGACAGAGATTTCTCAGAGGCGGCAATTTGTTCTCAATTACTATTGATGCGTGTTCCGATAATTTGGATGGCTCTGTATTCTTGCGGGAGTGGTGAAACTGTTATATAATGTAATTATGTAATATGTTTTATATAATAACCCAAGTTATTCTCGCATTTTGATTGGTTCTC